GCGGTGCCGGGGATTCTGGGACATGATCCAGGAACAGACAAGGGGCGTGTCTGGGTGGTGACGGGAGAGGTGGGCGGTGCCGGGGATTCTGGGACATGATCCAGGAACAGACAAGGGGCGTGTCTGGGTGGTGACGGGAGAGGTGGGCGGTGCCGGGGATTCTGGGACATGATCCAGGAACAGACAAGGGGCGTGTCTGGGTGGTGACGGGAGAGGTGGGCGGTGCCGGGGATTCTGGGACATGATCCAGGAACAGACAAGGGGCGTGTCTGGGTGGTGACGGTATCATTGTGTGTGTCAGGTTCCTATAAGGTGTCAGGATGTCTCTGTCTATCTCTCCATGGAGGAGTGGGAGTATCTAGAAGGACGTGGTGATGATGATTCGTGTTTCTTCTATTCTCAGAGCGGAGACCTCGGGGATCATCATGTGAAAGAAGAATATAAAGAGGAGGATGAGGAGTACGGGGTGATGGGGGAACCTTCTGAAGGACACAAGGGGGAACCTTCTGAAGGACACAAGGAGGTTATGAGAAGGCCACGTAGAAAGAGGAACCCACCAGAGAGATGTCCCCGTCCTCTGTATTCCCGGGACCCCACCCAGGAAGGTCTCCCCATCCCCCGCCATGATCAGGTGGGTGGAGTTGAGGGGCGGGAACATGTGGAGATGATGGGCGGACTCTACAAGATGAGACTTTCTGCCGTTCTGTTGGTTTAGGGTGAAGATCTGATGAAGATGAAAGTTGAGGGTGAAGTAGAAGAGACGTATGTGAGGGATGATCAGCGATATACGGAGGAGGAGGCCGGAATGATGAGGACGTCCATAGAGGAGGACACGCCTACACAGATCAGCACAGGTGACCCACAATATATTCTTCTCTTATCTCTGCTCTCTGATTGGTCCAGAGTAGGGTGGAGCTTAGTGATATCATCCAATAGGTTGGTAATGGTCACCTCCCTGATACCCGTCCTGGGGTTCAGCTGGTAGTATTGGGTTGGGTTTCTCTCCCAGTTCCGGAAGCCTCGGCCTGTGGTCACTTCTTCTCTGCTGAAGGTTCTAGCGGGTCAGAACTTTGTTCCTCAGAGATCACATGACCCAGTGCCTAGCCTTGTGGTTGGGTGAAGAGCATGCTCCTCCTAGTCCCCATTGGCCCCTCCTCTTCTGACAAGGCTGTGTAGATGTGGAAGTGATCTGGGAGGAGTCCCTTTGAAGAGGGGAGGAGCCCCGGCTGGTTGGGACCTCCTCATAGAACATCTGCTCCCTCAGACCTCCTGATCCAGATGGAATGTTGAGTGAAGTCATCTAACCCTCTCATATCTCTCCGTCATGTGTCTCTATGTTTCCAGGACACGCCATGGAGGAACCCTCAAAGGATCCTCTGACTTTATCTCCAGGTTGTAAGATGGAAGATGAGGACATCACAGCAGATTGTGCGGGAGAAGAGACAATGAGCTCAGCTATGGATGGTGGACCTCACAGTGTGGGTGGACCATGGAATCCCTCTGACTCTGAGCGACCTCATCCTGCGGGGGATGGTGCCGGAATTCAGGGGGAGGAGACATTTCCCTGTCCTGAGTGCGGGGAAAGTTTTACCTCTGAACTGAGTCTTGCTGAGCATCAAAAATTCCACATGGGCAGGAAGCTTTATTCCTGTCCTGAGTGTGGGAAATGTTTTATTCGTAAAGAAAAACTGGTCATACATTACAGATCTCACACCGGGGAGAAACCGTATTCCTGTCCTGAGTGCGGAAAAGGTTTTTCAAATAGGACCAATCTTAACACCCATTTGAGGTTGCACACGGGAGAGAAGCCATACACCTGCTCCGAGTGCGGGAAAAGTTGTTCACGGAAATCAGACCTTATCGTGCACCAAAGAACTCACACGGGGGAGAGGCCGTATTGCTGCCTTGAGTGTGGAAAATGTTTTACACAGAAATCGGGTCTAGTTAAACATCAAATATCTCACACGGGGCAGAAGCCTCATTCCTGCCCTCAGTGTGGGAAAAGTTTTTCACGGAAGTCACATCTGAACTCGCATCGGAAGTGTCACACGGGGGAGAGGCCGTATTCATGCTTGACGTGTGGGAAATGTTTCTTACGGAATTCCAACCTTACTAAACATCAGATGTGCCACACCGGGGAGAGGCCGTATTCCTGCCCTGAGTGCGGGAAATGTTTCTCACGGAGGTCTTATCTTTGCAAGCATCAGAGAACCCACACAGCCTTTGAGGTGTTTTAGCACCTGGAGTGTGGAAATCCCTACAATGTGAATCATTCGAGGCGCTGGGGAGAAGCAGCTAGGTCTACAGTCCAGGCCCATTTGCATCTCCTCCAGAATGTTATGAAGAGCGATCGGATCTCTTCGCCATGAAAATGAACTTCATCCCCCAAAAAACATTTCCCGCATTTCAGCCCCAGAAGGGCCGGCTGACGTCAGAGATTCTCTCGGTAACGCAGGTGTCAGTGCTGACGAGGACAAGGCTGGAGACCCCTCTGTCATGCTGATGGAGTTAGAATAACAGACTGGAGGGCGGAGCTTGGGATCCTTGATCTTCCTCTGTGGGCGGAGCTTGGGGGTCATTGTTCTTCCTCTGTGGGCAGAGCTTGGGATACTTGTTCTTCCTCTGTGGGCGGAGCTAGGAATCCTTGTTCTTCCTCTGTGGGCGGAGCTGCGAGGAAACAAG